AGGACTTGGGTCTTGACATTCAAGCCCCTCCATTTCAGCACCATTACCATTCAGCCAGGGAAACTGAGGCACAGAATGACTGAGTAATATCCCCTCAACCCAGTTGGCTTTAAAGCAATACTTTTATTTTTCCTATAGCACTGGTTAAATATTTTGTACATCAAATAAACCAGAAGAGATACCTCTTTTTCCTGTATGATGAGATTATCCACATATCCTACTGATTATGTTTATCCATACAGTTAAGTAAAAGGATTACAGTATTTTATCAGGGCATTCTGGGGTTTAAGAATCTGACTGGTAGAATCATGAAACTGTCCCAACTGGAATAAAACAAAAATACTCAAGGAATACCTTGAAGTGATGGAAATATAAATATTCTTCATTTAGAGAAGATAGATCCATGGATGTATACAACTACACTTGAAATCTGTGTGTCTGAATGGATGTAAACTGAAGCCTTCATTTGTTTGTTTGAGATGGGGTCTCACATTATAGTCCTCAGACTAACAACCGGCCTGCCTCAACTGCCCAAATGCTGGTGTCAAAGGTGTACATCACCATGCCCAGCAAAACCTATGTCTTTTTATTAAAGTGAAAAGTGTGTTGAGGGTCTTGTGCTTTTTGTTTTGTTTTTTTCTTTTGCTGAGAGCCCTAACCTAACCAGTCTTAAGAAAATGCATCCAGATGTTCTTTTTTTTAACCTACCCTATGATTCCTATCAGATTTGTGGCTAAATGGGAGCACCTTAGCTCCAGTAGCTTTATAAATACTTAAAAATACCAAAAGCCTTTGAGCTACCTTTGAGTCTGTGAGTAAATTCATTTTAGTTTAATTCAAATTCAAATGTTATTACAACCAATCACCTTGGTTACTTTAAAAATATGCAAGTAAAAGTCTCAGCTAAGTTATAAAGGAATTCTATTTAATTTTTCTTTAATAAGTATTTTCTTTTTAAATTTACTTTTAATTTTTCTGTGCATTGGTATTTTGCCATGGAATTGGAACTACAGACAGTTGTGAGCTGTCATGTAGGTGCTGGGAATCAAACCCAGGTCCTCTGGGAGAGCATTCAGTGTTCTTAACCCCTGAGCCACCTCTCCAGCCCTCTATTTAACTTTTAAAACAGTTTAGTAGTTGTTCTCAGGAAATGTAAATTACTCCATATCAGTAAAGTTGCCAGAGTTTATTCCTAGTGATAATTCAACCCAAATCACATTTAGCTGAAGTGACCACTGCAAAGTTTATTCGGAAACTGCTGACATTGGTGTGAAGTTCCAGGAGTGAGTGTAAGGGCTATTTTAATTCTGATTGTGGAAAGGAATCAGAGAGAGTTAAATATTAGAAGATCAGTTACCTAAAAGAGAAAATGAGCTACCATCTTTAGAGGCCTTGAGGATTTGTTAACAGAAAGCTAAACATACAAACACAGGAGTAATTTAATTTGCTGGCCCTGCGTTCTAAGTGGCAACAACGGAGTCATCATGGTGTCACTGCCATGGTTTCAATTAAAAAGCTGAATGACCTCAATTCTAACTGGCCATGGGCAATAACAATATTGAGCTTTTAAAAAAAAATCAATAAAACACCAAAGTTTGGAAAGTGTGGATACAGCAATAAATAAGAGCTATCTACGTGGCCCTTCCTCCAGCTGGCTCATCCCAAGGTGTATGTTTGAGCTTAATCTCCATCCTCTTCCTTCATTTTAGCCTTCTGTTCTGGTTTGTAGTGCCCTCACTTCCTGTTACTACAGCTCCATACTCTACTGCAAATCATGACTCACACTTAAATCATAGAGACACTCATCAAAAACCCCAAATTTCACAGCACATAGGAACCCAGTCTTTCAAGAGGGCAGCATTCTTAAGACATTACAGAAGACAGAACACAAGACCAGTTCCTTAGAAATTATGTCAACCCTTCCTCAATAAATACAAACTCAATGTTTGGCACCTCCAGTCTTGGTACTCATTACTAAAATGGGCATGTGGGATGTTAATGTGAAAATAAGCCATTTTTAAAAGCATGACATGACTCCAAATAAAACCTTACATGCACACATGTTCCTGTGCATCTGTATACACAACACACGTTTTAAGAGACAACAAAAATATACAACGAAATGCTAGCAGCAGGATTTTTTGGAAATGTTTATTGTTGTCATTGTGGCTTTCTATGTTTTCCTAGGGTAATTTATGATGTTTTTCACAACCAAGAAAGACAGAAAAAGTAACCTTTGGAAGATGTCTTTTGACTGGTGTGGTTCCAACCTGCTCTAAATCACCCTGCATCAGCAAAGAGGAGCTAAGATGACGAGTACATGGAAAATGTCTGCCCGGAACATACAAGGCTATTTGAAGAACGTGAGGGACTTCATGTCACTCATGATGTATACAATGGAGAATAAGCAGGCTGAGGAAGGGGTCACCAGGGGAAAATTAAAACAGACAGGGAGCTCATTGCTTTTAATGCATGATGAGGAGCCCAAGGCCTAGAAGAAAAAAAAAAAAAAAAGAGGACTATGTCACTGCCCAGGCATGTCAAGGACCCAAACTGCTTACTAGCAGGGAGTAACTCACCTTACTCCAGGAAGTCATACCCATGGGTAATTTTTTAATTAAGTGCCTTGGACTTGTCAGTAACATTTGCAACATCTGACAATACCATCTATAGAAGTATAATTTGGTGGCACAGAACACACAAAATCCAGTATGTGATCCCTGAGAAGGAATATTTTAATTTATACACACTGCCTGGAAGTCCTCTAAAAGCAATTTCAGGAAAAGATTTAGGTTCCAAAAAGTTATGACAAACATAAATTTTAATGTATGACCTCAGGATTGCATTTACTGTATATTAGCAGTTTTGAATTCATTGATTTCTTACAGAAGACAACGGGGGGGGGTTATATAAATGCTTAGGTAACTTCAAAATTCAAGCAGGGCTGATAAAAAAAAAAAAAAAAAAAAAAACCTGCTCTCCCCCATCCAAATACTGCCTTTCCCATCTAAAAGGCTTCAGTACTGGTTGTGTGGAGACTCACTGCTTACGAAGGTTCAAAAATTCAGCACACACACAAAAAATCACTCCATCACAATGTCAGTATCTGTCATTCTGTAACACAGAGAAAAAGACAGACAGGAGCGGGGAGAGACAGAGAAAGAGAGAGAGACAAACAAAGACTGAAACAGACATAAAAAGGAGTATGCTGCCGTAATGAAAAGGACAACTGGAGCCTTTAGATGCCCATCTGTTGAGTGAATGTGAGCCCTTTTATCATCTTCATCATTAAGGTGAGTGAGAATAGTTCGGTGTAAGCACTACTGATACTTGAGGCTAGCAGATTATTTATGGGGAGGTGTCCTGGACATTGTTGAATGAATAACAGCACCCCTGGCTTCTGCCTGTGGATGCCAATTGCACCCCTGGAGGTATTCCTCGAAGGGAGCAAAATCATTCCTGGTTGGAAATGACAGAAACAGATCTCAGGCATGTTCAACTTGGACTCTGATGCCTTCATTCTTCTGATAAGAACAGTGGTTGTGGTTCTCAACCTGTGGGCTGAGACCCCTTGGGGTCACACATCAGATGCAGAGCAGCAAAATTACAGTTATGAAACAGCAACGAAATTCTTTCATGGTTGGGGGTTCACCACAACATGAGGAACTATGAAAGTGTCATAGCATTAGGAAGGTTGGGAACCACTGAATGGATTTAGGGGATGCACTGGATGATTAGGGGACATGTTCACAACCTGGACTCTCCTGTAGGATGAGTGCTTGGAAGAAGTTTCCCCATCAGCTAGAGTTTTGTTTTCCATCTCAGCCAGTCACTCAGCAACAACAGTTTACTGACCACCCACTAAGAAAGGTGCAATTGAACTTAGTCCCACTGACTCACATAGGGTGGGCTGGCTGGGTTGCTTTTACATTGGCCACTGGAGAAGTCATGGCAACACCTTAGAAGTCCAGAGAGGCAGCATGTCCTTATCAAGAAAGGGGCCCCGTGCTTCTAAAGGGCTTCTCTAAAATTCTTTGTCCTTTTTAGTAACTCTACAGATTTCTAGTCAACATTTAAAGAAGGAAAGAAAGAAGGAAGGAAAGAAAGAAGGAAAGAAGGAAGCAAGCCAGAAGGCCTGAGCTATATTTGGCATCGAAAGGCCATCACTTTTCATGCTCTGGGGTTTTGCAAGCAGAGTCATTACTGGAAGCTTATGTCGGACAGTCTCCTTAACTGTCTGACCTGCATGCCCTCCTAACACAATCTCTAATTTTATAATCCTCATAAATTCAAACCCATAACTGACCTTTTCCAAATAAATGTGTTCCACAGAGAGGGAGAAAAAGGAGTGAGACCAGAGAATATTTTGTTGGGCAATAAGGCTCAGAAATCGATTCAGGCTCTTTAATAGATGCCCGGAACATGCCTGGGTTTCCCAACGCCCCCCCCCCCAAACCCCCAACAAAGCTGAGGCACAGATGAGAGAGGACCGGCAGGCCTGTGTGTGTGTGTGTGCGTGTGTGTGTGTGTGTGTGTGTGTGTGTGTAAACAAAACAGAACACACACGCGCGCGCACGCACGCACAGAAGAAAAGAATGTTCTCCTGAGAACCAAAATGGCCAAAGAGACTTCCAAGTTTTTTGAGACTGCCCTGGAAAGACTGGCGGGGTGGAGGAAGCACCTCTAAGTCAATAAGGCGGTGACTCGCCTCGCTCTGCAGCGCCTGCTTCGCAGGCTGACAGTGGCTTGCACAAAACCCCTCCTGTGCGGAGCAGCGGAAACTCCCAATGAGATTAGTCGGTGTGTGTGTGCAGACATTACTTAGCAATGACTAAAGGGGCTTTCTTCCTGCAGCAGCCAGTG